TAAGGGAATAGCGTGGCCCTTCCAAAGAGTTGCAGGTAAACCTGATTTTCCCTGAGTCGGGCTTCGCAAAAGACTCGTAGTCGCGTCAGTTTACACCCCCTTTAAGTGTGCAAGCTAGGTACTAGTAACCTATTGTTGATAAAGGTCAGAGGCATTTAGAATGCATGTACATGTATAAGCCAAATAAGAGCTTGGTATGATTAAATAAAATTGTTGTGAATTTTTAATTCCAACAAAAAATGACAAATCAGTGCCTGGTATAAGTTATATGCCACCTAAAAGACACAGAAATTGCATCTCATTCATGAAATAATCTGAACTACTAGTATTTGTAATGTTACTCAATGAACGTTTTCTTCTGATGGTGCCGGCGTTTGAGGTGGAGTCTCCTCCCGTCTTGGGGTTGCTGTGACTGGGCTACTTCTAGGCTCAGTGGACGCACGAGGTGGAGTGCTCAACTGCCTTGTAGTAATGACAGTAGTAGTTGTCATATCTTGTTCGGTGGATTACTTACTTTTAAACTGGATTTGTGCCATGTGATTTAGTATCGTCTTAAGAACCTCTTTCCCATAGACTCCAGGTTTTTTAAGAGGACACCTGGAGGCATTCCCATCACAATGTAGCTTGTTGGGTGTGAATACGGAATCGTACTTCTTGCTGATTGAGGGAAGGCTTCAAAATAGGTGGAGCTTTCTGTACATAATGACAGTAGTAGTTGTCATATCTTGGTCGGTGGATGAGGCACCGTTGTCATCTGGGTTGCTGTTAGCACCCCCGGGAACCTCAGCACTGCTTTTAGCAACTTCCTCAGTTCTGCTTGGACTCGTTGCAGACTGGTTGGTAATATCAGGTCTGATGTGCTGTCTGTTACGCCGTAGGAAATGTCGGAAGGATGTAAGAGTGTTGTCCCTCAGCTCTGGTTTGGACTGTAGCAAGAGACAACCGTCTGGTGACAGGGTTGTGATATCCTACATCTTGGTGTATTAATGAATCAATTTTTACTAACCTATGGCTGTGAATACAGTAGCATCCAGATTTGTCGGGCTCCCAGCCTCCAGAAGCTTGGAGTGTGTATAGAACACAGTGAGCAAGAAGAGCACCACCCCAGTAGCATTTTTTTTGTTGGCTGCTTCTTGAAGCGTGTTTTTGAACGCAAATATACCTGTCCCTGAGGAACTTCTGTTATCTATCATGGAATCACATATATATCTATTAAGCCATGTTTTATTTACAAAGGCAATACATTTGGCTGCTATATAAAGATACATTAATATCATTCATTAATTTAGGTCAGCCTTGCATATATATATATATACCTACTTGAGACACCTAATGAGACACATTTCTGGTAGTGATAACAAGAACTTAACATTTTATTATAGTTATATTGCATAAAAAGAACATGAACATAGAACACAGGCAAACTCCATCATAACAGATTTCAAACATTGATTATACTTCTAAATTGCACCGGGGCAATGATACATAAGAATTAAAATACCAACATCTCGCATAATGTGCCATACAATTATTGTTCCATGACTAAGGTAAACTTTGCACAAGTCATATTTTACAACATTATGAAAGTTCAAAACCTAAGTTATAAATATGATAAACAACTTCAACATCCAATAAATAACACAAACAAAAATAACATATAAAAACAAATTCCTGCTTCTGATACAGATCCAAATCGTTGCATGCAATACTTTTCAAATAAAATACAAACACAAGTGCCAACAAATTTATATATCATTCACTACAATCTATACAGGTATCACACAAAATTTGATTTCCCAAATCGAAAATAAAATAGAAGCCAATGAAGGAGTATGTTATAGAAATATTACTCACATTATGGACTGAACTGAACTGAACTGAACTGAACTTGTAGCAGTTAGTTGAAACTGGTATGCTCCATTCCAACGGATATTTTCAGATGAAATTAGACTCATCACTGATTGTAAGTAGTTCAATGAAAATATTTAATGATCAATTCATTATGCTTGTGTAACAGGTCAAAATTGAACTTTTGTGACGAAAAGACCAATTCAATATCTATCTATTTCTAATCAATATCTCCACAAGAAGTGAACAGCAAGAAACAAAGAAGTTATGATATGTTTACAAACTATGTACTTCAAAGAAATAGGACTCACACATATTCTGAGCTTCCCATCCTTCTTTCTGACTAGAACGATAGGGGATGCAGAAGGACTCGAAGATTCTCTAATGATGCCTCGTTCCAAGGACTTGTTGAGGTAATCACGAACTTCGTCCCAATGATGTGGAGGAATCCTGCGATATGGTATCTTGACTGGACGGTCATCCTCAGTTACAGTCTTGTGACTTACCAGGTCGCAATAGCCAATGTCATCTTCATCCTTACTGAAAGTTGTTTGGTACTTAGAGAGGACTAAATGATGTTGCGCTTGTGGACTTCATCGAGATCCCCAATATCCATCAATTCAATTCAATTCAATTCAATTCAATTCATATTTATTTCATTTCCCACAGAAAGGTAAACAAAGATACTACATTTTTTTCATTTATAATTCATTTTTTCTGGTTACTATACAAATACATTTTGCACATACCGGTAGTAAAATTATTACAATAGAAATACCTAATTTCTGAGGAAATGGGGGGGGGGGGGGGGTGGGGATCCACTAAAAAGCTTGGACACAAGATCTGCAATATCCTCTCCCTGTAGGCCACTACAGTAGCAGACTTAAGTACTGCAGTTGGTGTTCTCGGTTGAAGATACACATCTTTGTCACTAAAATTGGCCATCTGCATTGGCACTCTTCCCTTTTCGTTGACCGTTACTAAGGCAGCTCCTACGGTCACACCTTTCGGTAGCTCTGCCACATGAGAAACATGTCGTCTGATGGTATCGGAGAGGCTGACAACCCGTCGCTGAAAGGTCTTCTGTGTTGAGAGACCCTGCTCATGATGCTGGAAGTTCTCTGGGGTCTTTGTGTCATCATCAGGAAGGTATACTTCTTCGAATTGCTTTAGCAGTCTGGACATCTCTGGTCCCGAGAGCATCCATCTTCGAAAAGCATCAGGGTTTTCTGTAAGTCCAACAGCTCCACCAGAACCTTTCACAATCTTGTTTTCCTGCTCATGAGCTTGATCAAATGGGATCGCAGAGAATGTGTTACTTGTCTTGGAAAGGACCCAGTGAGAAAAATTCTCAAACTCATCCTTGATAGTGTTGGGCAGGGACTTCATATCTCTGATGTGGACTGGCATCCACTGTGAGTAGTTCACATGATCCAAGGCAAAGAACAGTGGTGTGAGTTCCTCCAAGACTTCAACATACAAAGGGAAATTCTTCTCTCTGTGAGCCCTGATGAAGATAAAAATGAGGGTTTCATATCTCATGATCAGGTCCCAGTACATGAAAATAGGACTTCTCTTCTGCATGTTGTTTTTTCCAAGCCGTGAAAGATTCTTAATCTTTGGGGCCGTCGCTGAGCATGAAAGCCTCACTCTGAAGATTGTTCAAAGTCAAGACAGTGATTTGGTGGGCGCGCCTAGTTCAAGTTAGGTGTGCTGCCTTTGGATACGAATCGGCAGTGCCAGATGACGCTATCTCTGCCTCTGTGAGGGCTGTGGTCCAGCCAGAACCTTCTAAGACATCCCCAAGTGTGTTCCATAGTGCCATTTCTGTGTGCAGACCTCCTTGCATAACCACATGCACTTTCTTACCATGAGTGCCTGGCTATTTCCACTGTACAAACTTTGCCAGGGCAAACAGAGGCTGGTCAAATGTCGTGACTTGGATTTGTCCTGGGTTCAGAAATTCAACAGCTTGGCTCTCGACATCCATGCCATGCTTGATCATAGCAGGAGTTGCAGACTTCTCATAAAAGAGAGGAAGGAGTGCACATTGTGCTGGAGGGTCTTCTACCGGAGGTTAATTAGAGCCCTGTACCATAAAGGCTGTCATATAACCACAAACCAATGAGATCTTTCATGATATCTAACACGGGGCTCTGGTGCGACGTCCCCGCCCCCAAAACATACCCATATAAATGTTTTGTTGGGGGCTCCAACCCTAACATCTTATAGTAGGTCCTAAAAAAGCCCTGTACCAGAAATTGCAATCGTGCAAGAAAAAAAAATCATTGTTGTTTTACCTTATATATTAGTTGGGGGCTCCGGGATGACGCCCCCGCCCCTACACCCTTATATGAAATTTTTGCCAGGGGGTCCTACCCTACTATCTTTCAGTAGGTCCTTATGAAGCCCTGTACAAAAACAGGCTGTCGTATAACCACAAAGCAATGTGATCTTACATGATATATAATATGGGGGCTCCGGAATGACGCCCCCGTCCCCCACACATTTAAATTTATTTTTTGCCGAGGGCTCCTAGGCTAATATCGTTTAGTAGGTCAAAAGGAAGCCCTGTACCAAAAATGGTGCTTTTGTCCGCTGTGTAAGGATTATTTCGCTAAGCCACCTGACTGATAGCCATGCAATTGGAATGTACTCTGGAAAGATGTGACAAGAACAAAGAAACTTGAATGCACAATAATAAGGCAGCTGCATTTTTATAAATAAATTTATCATTTTTCTACTTTTGAGAAATAAAGCAGTGCCATTCATTTCAAAATTTGGACTATCTTTGTTGTTATGATCTAAAATATAATGTTCATGATGATCATCATGGTTACACCAAGTGTTCTTGTAATATTTCATAACACGGTCCCAGGGAAGACTGCTATCACTGGTCAAAAGGAGGGGGAAAATTCATGTAAAGAGACATATTTATAGATAATATATACAGTGGACTCATTCACTATGGAAAAACATTCTTGGTTATTTATTGTTTTTGTAATCCTGACAGAACAGAGTTAATTTACTGGTCCCAAAGAGTTTGATAAAAGGGAGGCCCCTGCATAGTGACCAACATTATAGGTTTACCACATTATTGTTTGAAAAATACTCACAACTTCTCTAAAACACCCTCCTTTTTTCTTCATTCCGAACGTTTGACTTATCATAGCCTTTTCAATGGCACCTCTCATGTCTTCTTCATCGCTTTCAGAAAGGAGCCTCCTTTTTCTCTGAAAACAGAAAAGGAAGAAATATATCAATGTAAGATTTGGTCTATTTGAATTGTACAGACAAATTACAAACAAGATTCAAAATACTTTCCAAGGATAATTGAAAAGTGTTGCTCTTTTAAACACATTTCAATGAGTGGGTCTGCCTGACATAAGTATTAACTTGACAAATATTAAATGAAAGTACAGGAAACATAATAGTATTTCATGAATTTGGAATTCAAATAATCAATATGACACCTTATAATAATATGAGGGTGAAAACACATAGCATGCACACCAGCATTTCTTACCAAAGGTTTGCTCTTTGTGGGCTTGGTGGCATATACGATGGGTCATCGTCCTTGAAGCAAACACATTAATTTCATAAATCACTTGTACTAAAAAAGATGAAGATGTGTATCTGTTTATGAATTTATGAATGTATATATGCAAACTTCAACCAATATAGAAAAAGAGACAGAAAATGAGACATTGAAATTAAACTTTGCATAGAAGGCCTGAAGCAGCTTTACTATACAAACATGGCTGCTTGTTGTGTTGCCTTATATTGAAAACATATTGCTATTCAACTCTTTCTTAAGGGTCATTTTACAATAAAAGTCTGTGATTATTCTCACTACCGGTATGTGACAGGAGCTGACTAAAATGTAAAGACAAGCAGGTCGGAGCTATGAGCTCACTTCTTCTTATTCAAGACATTATGGCCAATATTATACTTATTGCTAATCTGACACTGGGTTTAAGCTTGATCTAAAGGCGAGTTTAACAAAGAGACTAATTAAATAACACTAGCAACGACTTAGAATGAGGTGTAAGCTTTCTCTTTGCTTAACTTGATTAGACCAATCTTACAACCATCGTTAGGGTAAACTTGGTGTTCAAGGCCATTAAATATTTGTTGTGTTCAGAATTATGTGTATCCCATTTACATTTGGCATAATGGCATTACCTTTCACAGTTAATACTGTACATTGAAATATTAGTAGATGGAGGCGGCAACACAACCGGAAGGGGCAGATTAGTTGCTTGGTCTAGGGTTAGGACTAGGAGGCAATGTGTCATCCTTTCAAATCAAAGATACAAAAAAGATAATTTTACTTCCAAAATTACTTCTTACTTCAAAATCGTATTACTGCTCATGAATAAGTCAGCTGATTCAATTGGTAGATGATCTGATAATTTGCACACGGCTCCATTGCTACGACCCCTACCTCAACCAACATAGTAAACAACCTAGCCAATCTACAAGTACACAGATGTAGGTTTCCCAATGTGCAAACATACTCTCGATGCTGACTAAATGGTGCTCCTTAAGCTCAGCCAGCTCTTTTTCGACCTCTGCCAGCCGTTGATTTAATGTGTGGCAGTTCCTGCTGGCAGAGGTGATCTTTCAATCATTGTGACATACTCTCGATACTGTCTCGATGCTGACTAGATGGTGCTGCATAAGCTCAGCCAGCCGCTGATTAAGTGTGTGGCAATTCCTGCAAGCAGGGGGGAATATTTCAATTATTGTGACATACTCTCGATGCTGACTAAATGGTGCTCCTTAAGCTCAGCCAGCTCTTTTTCCACCTCAGCCAGCTGCTGATTTAATGTATGGCAGTTCCTGCACACAGGGGTGATCTTTCAATCATTGTGACATACTCTAGATACTGTCTCGATACTGACTAGATGGTGCTGCTTAAGCTCAGCCAGCTCTTTTTCCACCTCGGCCAGCTACTGATTTAATGTGTGGCAGTTTCTGCAGGCAGAGGTGATCTTTCAATCATTGTGACATACTCTCGATACTGTCTCAATGCTGACTGATGGTGCTGCTTAAGCTCAGCCAGCTCTTTTTCCACCTCGGCCAGCTACTGATTTAATGTGTGGCAGTTTCTGCAGGCAGAGGTGATCTTTCAATCATTGTGACATACTCTCGATACTGTCTCGATGCTGACTAGATGGTGCTGCTTAAGCTCAGCCAGCTCTTTTTCGACCTCAGCCAGCCGCTGATTAAGTGTGTGGCAATTCCTGCAAGCAGGGGTGATGTTTCAATCATTGTGACATACTCCCGATGCTGACAAGATGGTGCTGCTTAAGCTCTGCCAGATCTTTTTCCACCTCAGCCAGCCGCTGATTTAATGTGTGGCAGTTCCTGCAGGCAGAGGTGATCTTTCAATCATTGTGACATACTCTCGATACTGTCTCGATGCTGACTAGATGGTGCTGCTTAAGCTCAGCCAGCTCTTTTTCCACCTCAGCCAGCCGCCGATCTAATGTGTGGCAGTTTCTGCAGGCAGGGGTGAATGGTGGTGCTGACCTGGTCTTGGCGGGGCGGGCAGGCTTGGTTTGGATGGGGCTGGTTGGTTTGGATTGGGTTGTGCAGACTAGCGTAGTCTGGGTGAGACTGGCTTCACCTCCCTCCTCTCCTCCATATCTACCCTCTTCCTCTTCTCCTCTTTGCCGCTTTAGGAAGCTCATGAATTTTGTGCTGTTTTCTTCCCCTTCATGCTCCACCATTTTTTTTTACAAAGTTCCTCTTTGCTTCCTGAACAAAATGGGGGAAGTGGAAAATTATATCAAGAAATCAAGAAATGGCACACACAAAATATCATTATTTATTTAGTTGGTTATTTCTTCCATCTTGGATAACTGCACCTCGCTTAAAGCCATTTGCGATTCATTGATATCTTTCTGGAAATAGTTGAGTTTTTCTGAGACCAGCATTTCTAGTTTATGTTCCGCAACTCCTGCACTTCCCCGTGGACTCGAAGATATCCGTTTGCTCCATCGTAGAGCCTTTGCTCTGATGTATCCCTGGTCAGATCTCATAGCTGAACATGCCTGGATGATCTTCCTTGCATTACCTTAACGATAATGAAAAAGCTTGTCAGTTTAGCAGCATCAGATACCTAGGTGTCATCTACATTCAGTTGGAATGACCTCCAAAACTCCCAGTATTGGAGTGAATCCCCATCAAAGGTCGCACTATGAACATGACAGACAAATGAAGAGGACAAAATATACTGTTCCTCAGGTAGACAAAGGAACATCCCTTCACTGCTATTGTGTAAAAATGTGTAGAACAGGTGAATATGCATGTGCCACCGGTTCTACACATTTTTTACATAATAGCAGTGAAGGGATGTTCCTTTGTCTCCCTGAGGAGCTGTATATTTTGTCCTCTTTCTTTGTCCGTTATGTTCATAGTGTCATAAGCTCAGCTTAGGGGAGCTGTAAAAGCTCAATCAATTCAAGGTGCTCTACTCTAGACCTACTTCCTTGAGGTCTAATCAGCTTCTATGTGCACCCTCTCCTCTGCACATTTTCAAACAACTTTGAGTTCACAACAAATAATACCTCTTTAAAGGTACCATCTTACAGGGGCTTCTAGGAAATGTAATGCAAACTTTTATTCATGGAAAAAATAATGCTGAATGAATACTTGTTTAAAAAATTATAGTTCTAAACATCATCGTCCATCTCGAGATGAGGGGCTAATTTTCGGGGAGGTATTTTGAGAGGTTTATCTTTCGCGGAATGAGGGACACTTTTTGCTCTGCTCTCACTCCCATGAATTTGTTTCCCCCGACCAAGGGTCGGCTCATGGGATTTTGGCTTTGATACCCCCGGGGAAGCACCCGCGTTTTGGGGGTTCGATTTGCCTGTTGATTTTGTCTTTTTCGTATTTGTTTGGGTTTTCTTCCCTTTCTCATTCGCCGGGTTGTCCGTCACGGATCCATCCCTAGCGGTGTTTGATGTTGACATCATCTTTAAAAGTTGAAAATCCGGTGAAAAACACAACATTAGAAATTCGTTTGTAAGAAGTTAATGAATGACCAATCTTAATTGTTGAGTGAAAAAAATATAATAGCAACAATAAAGACGGTTAAGAATCCCCATGGTTAGAATTAGATAACAAGTGCAAATACGATGTAATATATCCATATAAATATTATACATAAAAAAGCATCTACAATAGTATGAGCACTAGCTGCACTCCATTCCTGGTTTCATTGCAACGGCGCCTCCTTTTGCAGTTACTCATGGCTAGATTCTGAATTTAATTAGCCAGTAATACTAGTCTAGCTGCAGCAGACCCTTGTACTACATGTGTGGAGCGCTGAGAGAAAAGTCAATTGCAGCCAGCATATCCCACTTGGAATCATTGTAGTATGTCTCTGTACTCCCTGCCCAAACTCTTGAGAAGATTCTCAGTTGCATTCTCCTGGTAGCTGAGCTTGTCAGCTACCGTTTGGTGGAAACCCTTGGTTGTCCCATTCCGCTTCATTCGTTTATACACGTCGTGGCAGCTGAGGTACTCCTGCATAACTGCAATGATTCCCTGAAGACTCCATGCCTTTCTTTTGTTTGCCATTGTTCTATGATGGTAAACAATATTCATAAACTAAAGCATGGGCGTACAAAAAGTCTAGTTTAGTTTGGAAGGTTCATTACCGTGCAATGCCTGCATGTTTTCCAGCTCCAGTGGCCCACAGATGGGTTTCCCTTTTTCAGGTGATCGAGCGCGTTCTCAGAACATCTGAACCCCAAATAGCCAAGGCCAAATATTTCACAAATGAGGAGTTCTTTTGTTGACTCATGATTGTGTCAAACTTGCCTTTATCCACGTTGCTCCCTTTTCCAGTGATCGAGCGCGTTCTCAGAACATCCGAACCCCAAATAGCCACAGCCAAATATTTCACAAATGAGGAGTTCTTTTGTTGACTCATGATTGTGTCAAACTTGCCTTTTTCCATGTTGCTCCCTTTTCCAGTGATCGAGCGCGTTCTCAGAACATCCGAACCCCAAATAGCCACAGCCAAATTTTTCACATATGAGGAGTTCTTTTGTTGACTCATGATTGTGTCAAACTTGCCTTTATACATGTTGCTCCCTCTGATGATAGAGCGTTCTCAGAACATTCAAACCCCAAATAGTCACAGCCAAATTCTTCACAAATAAGGAGTTATTTTGTTGACTCATGATCGTGTCAAACTTGCCTGTGGGTTTAAATTAGACTACAGTCGGTTGTATTTTTATTCAATGACAGATCAGATGCATCAGATCAAAGTTTTATCATTTAAAGGTAGGCCACAGCTTACATGTATCAAATTGCTGGAAAACCCTCTCCTTGAATGCATTGTTTGTTTTCCGTTCGTCCACTCGCAGCCATCATCTCCATTATCTTTCGCATGACTATATTGTTCCTCACCGTACCATCTAGCTGATCCTGAATATTCTGTCCCTTCCAAATTCCTAGCAGACACAATGTCTCCTCACTCCACCGGCTCCCTCTGTGTGCCATTCAACCGCCGACACTGGCACTGCTGCTAAATTTCTATTAATCAAAAGGAAATA